CGAGTATGTAAAGCTTGATTTGTTGCTCACAAATACGCTAATGATTGAGCTGAGAGTAATTGCGGTTGTCGCCAAAAGGGTAGACGCCATAATGTTGTTGCGTATAGTTTGAACTGCCAGAACTCCGTTCTTTATTGGATCCTGAATACAGTTCCCTCTAAGTCAATTGACAATTCATACCAAACTGCTTGTCAATTGCTACTGATTGTTCTTCTACTAGAACATAGCATAATAATATGGTTATTAATCTATAGCACATCAGCAGGAAAAAAAATAGAAATGCAAAACTAGGACATGATAAATAGTTTAGATAATCGACATAATACATCCATGTCGGATAAGTTCTGCAAATCTGATGCTGGTTTATTTTTTTCGTTTCACATTTTAGACTCTCTTCCTCCCCCTTCTTCCTTTTGGCAGAGTGTAAACCATGCAATGTTCCAACTAGTAGTATCTGGCTGACTGCCTAATATATTGAAAAAAAAGTTACATAAAACCAACTCGCCAAGACTTGCTTCCAGATAGCATTCCACGTGAATCAGATTACTCATTCTCATAATCAATTATCTTTAAAAGTTATATGATGTATACAAATTTATTCCACAACCATGTTAGTTTGATAAGTTCCTGCAATCACATAGCTACAGAACGCCAATCAAAGAAACAAACATATCATGTCTCAAGGTCGTACTGATTATTAAGCAGACCTTCGCGATAACAGATGACCTTACTCACTATTATTGCTCAGTCCAAATAATTAAATTTCTGCAAGTAGATCATCATTAGTGATACAATCACTCAATCCTACAAATCCCAAAGTTGCAGTTGGCATACGTAACCTCGATACATGTTCTGTTGTATTCAAACCCTTCTCATTCCTACTATACAATTTAGTAGCTTCTAAACTCACCCTATGTCAGATGTGATCAATTTTACTCTTATCTGATCTTGTACGCCCGCGCACGGCACATCCATCTTAACATTCGTACTTCTAGGATACTCATCTTGTGGATATTTTGGGTTAACTCCTATATAACATTGTTTGTCTCATAACTATTATATGTAACCTGCCTTTCACTTTATGTCTTAAAACGATTCCTTTGAATTACAACCATATTGGTCTCCCAGAAATTTAGATCCGCTTAGTATCAACAGAACAACAAAAATTCCTTGACTTCTTATAGGGTTAGCAAGCTTTAAACCATTTTATATAAAGGTGTATGGAGATTTGACCTTCAGCACAACCCAACAAAGTAGCCATTGCTAGGAAAACAATGTATACAGTACCGGACTCAACTTTTGCTTGTCATAAGGCCAGGGACCGGTCGAATAGGAACAGATAGATAGTCTTCTAGTATATTGCAATTACAAAGCAATATTTCCAACTGAAATGAGGCAGCAGGGCCTTGGGATTTGGGAATCTATGCTACTGCGATCGAAGGCACTACACATACTCAAAAAAACTTTCTTATACAGAAAAAGGTTTCTCACAGGAGCCAAAAATAATTCTATCACAGAAAGTTCATTTATTGAAAATAAGAATGAGCAGATGTTCCTTTTTTTAAACTATATTTATCTCAATGGTGATGGAAGATTCTTAATCAGCATCATAGAAAGTATAAGTACAAGTACATTAAATACTAACTAAAAATAAAATAGAATACATGAAATATTATGGAAACAAGAGCAATTGCATGAGACTTATTAGGATAGATCTTTGAGAAGAAAAGGAACTCTTGAAGGAAACTAAATGTTATTACAGAAGGCCCGCAGTTCTAATTCTAGTAGAAAACTCACGGTTAATCAAAACAAGTCTTGCAGAGCAAAGAACAAGACTAGACGGGATCTTCAGGAACTGGTAAAGATAAAACTTGCAATGGCAAGCACTTTCTATTCAGTGAAGTACATACTGGATTTTGCTTTGGAGTTTGGTACATAAAACCAGGGTAGATATTACATTATATGTGATTATACACTTTGCCTCTCTGCCCTTTCCAAGGTAGGGGCAAGGTTGCTTACATCTTACGGGTAAGGTTGCTTACATCTTACCCTCTCCAGACCCCACTTGTGGGAAATTACTGGGGGCTTCTTCTTGTTGTTGTTGTTGTTGTGATTATACACTTTGTTCTTACTTGGAGGAAGTAAATAGCAAAATAGGGGAAAGGGATCCAACCCGAGAAGAATTGACATCAGATTACCTTAAGTTCTCTTGCTCAATAACACACTGCAAAAATCACCAAACTAGGCATTAAAAACATATTGAAAAGATAGGCATTTGTTAATACTAGCTCCCGAAGATGAGAATCACTCGAGCACTTTCTTTTCCACTTTCTAAGAACTACCCTTTGCAGCTTTATATTCCACAGCTGCTCAATCTTTCACTTCGAAAACCCAAAACTTGGATATCATGGACTTACTCACTTTCTAACTTGCACTTTCCCCATTTTTCGCATTTCCATATCAACCGGTTACCAATCGTCGAGACGATCGATCAGTCCAGATGGCTAGCTTGGATTATAATTTTTCTTTTACAACGCAAAATTCCGAGGGCCAGGGGCGCATGAATTAAAAGCCGAACAAGGGTTCGAACCATGGAAGCAGCCACTAATGCTTGCATTAGGGTAAGCTGTCTACATCACAGCTCTTGGAGTATGGCCGTGTGCACCGGGCTAACCCTATATTAGCTGGGTTGGTAATGTTATTTTTCTTTCATTCGGTTACCTAAACTAGCTAATTACAACATTCCTTTCTACAATTTGAATGTTAAGCAGCTCAAATCATAATAGCTAAACTGTACTTAAAAGAGTAATTATTACAAAGCAAAAATAACCTCAAAATTTGAAACCATAATTTCATCAATATTTCGCACATAAAAAAGAAAACAAAAGGGGAGAGAGAAAGGAGACTAACAGTCATAACGGAGAGGACCCAGTTATGGCGAGACTCAGAATTGATTCCGATAACTGTTCTTCTTGGATACCGAATTATAGTGAACATAAGCCAGGCATGATATGCTAGAAAAATGGCCAGACCTAGAGGCACAAGTGCGTAATCAAGTTGATGTTCCTCCATCATCTTCCCCTGTAATCACTAATTAGTGTGCAGATCAAGATATATATA